ATATCTAGATTAGTATCTATATCTATTTATTAACTATTATTAGAATAATAATTTAGACTTCTTACTCTATAAAAGCTAGATATAAGCTATGCTACTATATAAAATAACTAGATTATTATTATATAAAATTAAATTTAAATACTAGCTAATATACTACTAGAATTAGAAAAAGTATATAATAAAAAAATCTACTTTATATAAGTATCTCTTATACTAGAAAGCTTAAGCTTTTACTAAGAGTATAATATTATAAAAAAAGCTACTAAGATTATATAAAGTAATATTATAAAAGTATAAGCTAGATAAATACTTTAGATAAATAAAAAGTACTAAAAATCTAATTTTATTATAAATAATTATATCTATATTAAATCTTATAGCTTTTTAATAGATTAGTCTAGTATAATGCTTATTTAGTAGATATATAGCTTTTACCTAATTATTACTATAAAAGATTACTTCTTCTAGCTTTAGCTATATATATATATATATATATATAATATCTTTTATACTAATTAGCTAAGAAAAGTTTTAGAGCTATTACTAGAGTAGATAGAGCCTAAGTAGCTATCTATTAAAGTTAATAGTAATCTAGAGTAGTCTATATATAAAATACTAGATAGTTATCTTTATTAAGGTTATCTTTAATACTAAGTTATATAGATTACTTATAATTCTAACTCTACCTAGTATAATACTATAGGCTTTATTAATACTTTCTATAAGATAAAAGACTTTTATATAGTATATTTAGATAAGCTAGAGCTACTATTATAATTAGATACTTAGATTAAGGTATATAAAAAAGAGAAGACTCTATAGAAGATAGTAAAGAATTTAAAATCTATATAAGTAGAAAATATAAAAGTAATATAAAGACGCTACTAAGTAAAGCTAAAAGTAATTTAGTAATAAGATTAATAGCTAGAATAATTTTAGAGACGTACTTTAGAGCTTAAGAATAAGCTCTCTATAAAGAAGAGTAATATAATAGTCTAGCTTAGTATTTACTAGAGTTATATAATCTTATCTAAGTTATATAACTTTACTTAGTATCTTAGTACTTAGCTCTCTATATATATAGAGCTCTTAGAGTATTCTTCTACTTCTTATCTTTAGATAGCTAAATTTAATCTAATCTACTCTACTAGTATTTCTATTCTTATAGCTTATAGAGATAGTACTATCTTTAGCTAACTTATCTAGCTAGATATTCTAGAATACTTATAGTAGTAGAGATTATAAAGCTAGCTCTTATACTACTAAGTAAAGCTAAAAGTAATTTAGTAATAGAGTTAATAGCTAGAATAATTTTAGAGATATATTTTAGAGCTTAAGAATAAGCTCTCTCTATAAGAAAAGATAATATAATAGTTTAACTTAGCGCTATAGCTTAACTTAGCTCTACCTAGGTTATATAATCTTATCTAGCGTCTTAGAGCTTAGCTTTCTATATATATAGAGCTCTTAGAGTATTCTTCTACTTTTTATCTTTAAATAGCTAAATTTAATCTAATCTACTCTACTAGTATTTTTATTCTTATAGCTTATAAAGATAGTACTACCTATAGCTAACTTATCTAGCTAGGTATTCTAAAATACTTATAGTAGTAGAGACTATAAAGCTAGCTCTTATAAGTAATACTAGTTCTAGAGATAACTATATATAAGTCTAGCTATAATAATATAGTTAGAGTTATTTTTATAATTATAGAGTTTATTCTAGTAGATATAGCTATAGATACTTTTAGAGAATAGTCTATTTATAAAAGTAAAATTTCTCTTTATTTTAAGAAGTAATTCTATACTATAATAGCTAGAATATAGATAATAAATATAGTATTAAGCTAATAAAATAAGATTAAAATAGTATTAGTATATTTTCTAAAAATTAGTAGTATTCTCTAACTTTATAATAGAATCTACTCTATTAGCTCTATATCTAGAGTTAGAAGTCTATTTAACTTAACGTACTTTATAAGTAAGCTAGTTATATAAGTAAGCTAGTTACTTTCTCTTAGTAATAAAACTTAATAAAAATTAATAGGTTTTTCTTAAATAACTAAGTAAAACCTTAATATATTTCTATAAAAATTTATTTATATATTCTCTATAATATATTATATCTTATACTAAAGTTATACTAAGATATATTATATAATTAAAAAGCTATACGTATTTAACTATCTTTTAAGAAAAAATCTAGTTTACTTCTAGTAACTACTACTATATCTATATAATAATATATAAAATTTATAGTATATAGTATTTATAACGTAATAAAGGTTTCTAGAAAACCTTTATTAAGCTAGCTCTTCTAGGTATAGCGTAATAAGAGGTAGAATTTTAAAAAGAATCTTTCTAGAGTTTTCTTCTCTAACTATAGATATATATAAATAATCTAGCTATATAAAGTTATATACTATAAGATTATATATACTATAAGTCTTCTATATATTTAGAAGTAATAATTTTAAGATAGTTTTAGTATATTTCTCTCTTTCTATACTATACTACTAAAAAGGCTTTACTTTAAAACAACTACTTAAAGCTACTATATTATTAGTTAATAAGCTCTATATAATTAAAGCCTACTATAATCTATAAAATAATAAGTTTATATAGCTAGATTAACTATATATATATATATAGTTAGAAGAGAAAACTCTAAAGAAGATATTTTTCTAACTTCTATCTCTTAT